GGCGTAAAAATAATTATGGGAGGTACGAATACCAAGGTCGGTAAGCGGCATTTAGACCCACAATTGGACCACACAGTAAACACAATGTGTCAAACGACAATGGGCTAAGAATTATCGATTTTGCCATGGAAAAGAACATGACAATTAGAAGCACACAAAGATATTCATCAAGAAACATGGATATCCGCAGATGGGAAGATGAGAAACCAAATTAATCACGTTCTTATAAATGGTAGACATAACTCAGACATCTCGAATGTGAGAAGTTATCGAGGCGCAGATGTCGACTCTGATCACTTTTTGGTTAAAGTACGTTATGGGCAGAAGCTTGCTGGAAGGACTCGAGGACATCTAGAGAAATCCACAAGATTTAACAGTGATCTCCTCAATCTGAAAAACTATTCAGATCCATTTAGGGTAATACTGAATGGAGCCTTGATGGGCACACAAGGTAGCGAAAGTAGGATAATGGACGATGAGTGGGGGAGAATTGAAAGAACATTAAGGAGGACGGCGGAAGAGGTTGTAACGATTTGCGGCATGAAGTGAATGGTTTGATGATGAGTGTCAGATCGCATCGAGGGAGAGGAATAAAGCAAGAATGAAGATACTGCCGAGAAACACAAGGCAGACCAAGGAAGTCTATAACACAGGAACTCCAGAGGTATTGGACACTTAGCGACAATATTCCTAGGAACTTCTGAATGGAGATGAAAACACAGTGAAGAATGTGCTGCATGGGCGCACACAAGAGAAATTGCTGAGTGTGATGATGAGCCAACCAGTTTAAATATTTGGGTGATCTTATCACATCAAAGAATGAAGACCAAGAAGAAATTAAGGCAAGAATAGCTGCTGGAAATATAACTATCTTCAAAAAGTATTAAAATTTAGAGGCCTGACCAACAGAGCTAAGGTCGTATTATATAAAACAGTCATTAGGCGAGTTGTATCCTATGGCTTTGAGAGTTGGGTACTTTCCAAAGAAAGTGAAAGAATGTTAATAGTTTGGGAAAGGAAAGTACTCAGAAGAATATATGGACCTGTCCGCGAGGACGGCAACTGGAGAATAAGAAAGAATGAGGAACTGAAAGACATGGTCCGAGAACCAGATCTGGTTTCTTTTGTTAGAAAGAATCAGTTGAGGTGGCTGAGACATGTAGAGCGGATGCCGACGAATAGGATACCGAAAAAATCAGTGAAAGAGTTAGAGGACGTCCACGATTAAGATGGTCAGATGGAATGGAGAGAGTATTGATAGAGATGGGTATCAGAGGATGGAGGAGAGTGGCCCAGGATAGGGAAGAGTGGAGCAGGATTGTAGAGGAGGCCCAGGCCCTTGTAGGGCTGTTACGCCATGGAGTAAGTAAGTAAGGTAACGTACAATGCCTATCTGAGGAATTTGATTGTCGCTGACATAAACTGGAGGGCATGTGTCTCGATGAAGTGTAAATATTGTTCATTGTGATTTGTCATGATTTAATTTAATTTTACAAAGTGAATACAAATTTTGTAAATTTAGTGAGTGATTTTGTATATTTAGTGAGGCTAGTCTGGGGTAATGGTATTTTGTTAAAATTTTTGTATCGTCAGTGTAAGTAGCAGTCAATGTTACGGGGGTGGTAGGCATGTCATGGGTATAGATAATATAGAGTAAAGGAGCCAGTATTAATCCTTGAGGCACCCCTGCTGACACTGGCCGAATTGAGGAAATTTCTAAACCCTGTCGGACAGAAAAAAATCAGTCGAAAAAGGAAGACTGAAGAATAAGATAGTATGTATGAGGTAGTATAGTTTTGAGTATAAAGAGAAGTACCTGGTGCCAAACTTTATCAAATGCCTAGGCAACATCCAGAAACACGCCGGTTGTATATTGTTTTTGCTCTACCGCTCCATCAATGTAGTCAGTAACTCTGTGTAATTGGTGTATAGTTGAATAAAATGTACTAAAACCGATTTGATGGTCAGGAATTATTTGTTGGTCTGTTAGTATGTCAATTAGTCTTATGTATATTAATTTTTCGAAAACTTTGGAACATATTGGAAGGAGACTCATAGGTCGGTAGGATGAGGTGTTGATAATGTCTTTGTCCCTTTTGTGCATCATCTTGATATGTAAATATTTCTGTTGTAATGGGAAGTTAGTTGTCCTCAGAATACAGAATTTCAATAGTTGGAAGTTATAATAAAGGGGAAAAACTGTATTGAAATATTTTAAAAAAGAAAATCATTTATGACTCATATTTAATTTATAGCTTAGGTCTTTGAATCATTCAATTTTCTTTTCAATTTTGTTTTACTCTGAAATATAAGATCCTGAGTACCTTTAAAATGAATTAAGAAATACCTTGTTAGATTGTTAGGGGATAAATATGGTAGTAGCTGCTTTGTGCACCGTGCTATTCGTAGTAAATAAATTTCGTCCCATGCATGGGTGAAGTATTAAATCTTCTACAAAATGGATTAATTGATAGTCAATTTTATTTATTCAAATATTTTATATATACATATATATATATATATATATATATATATATATATATATATATATATATATATAATATATATATATATATATATATATATATATATATATATATATATATATATATATATAGATAGATAGGTAGATAGATAGATAGTTAGAAAATAAACTTTATTCTGGGACAAGGTCCCTTATAAATAACAGCTTGAACAAAAAAAATAAAAAATAAAAAAAATAAAATAAAAAATCTGGCCAAAAATAACATTAATCAACATTAAAGAATATATACAGTATCTTCAGTGAAATAAAATTAAAACAAGTAAATATAACACCAATTTGAGAAAAATCGAAATAAAAAAAACATTATTTAAATGAAAAGAAAACAAAATAAAATAAGCATGTGTTGATTTTTTTAAATTAAAACTCAATCAATTTTAACAACCATTCACCTTAGTCAAAATCTGTTTCGCAATATTTATTTTATTGCATAACGTCATTTTGGGTAGAGATGATATTTTAATGAGGACAAGGAAGAGGCATGGCGGATTTCAGATGGCAAGGAATACCAGAAGCCTGTGGAAGGTGCAATAATGGAATATTCAAACGTCTTAGTTCTATGGGAAGGGATATAAAGTTCGGAAACACGGGATCTTGTTTTCTGGGAGTGGACCACGGGTTTAAACTGTAGGAGACTGTAGATGTAGGAAGGGTGTCGGGTGTTGTTCGTTTGGAATAAGAAAGATCCAAGGAAATATTGTCTGAGGAAAGAAGGGAAGAGCCACTTCAACTCGTCGTAAAGGTGGGACAAATGAGACCGCCTCGATGTACCGAAGACAAATCTTAAGCACGTATTCATGAGTCGCTTCAATCTATCCTCGGGTACCATCGGGATGCCTCCGTACACCACACAGCCGTAGTCAAAGTGGGAGAAAATGTCGAAATATTTCTAAGTGATGAAAGTTGTTTTATACGCATCCTGGCCATTTTACATCTTTATAATTTTAATAGGAAACAATATATCCAGCTCTAATTATATTTTTGATTAATCTAATTTTCGAAGTACGTACCAGTGAATTCCGACCTATTTTATAAATATAAAACAAAAACATTCACCAAGATAATACCATAATTTATTCAGACTCAGAGCATAATCTGTTATTTTACTGAGTTAAAATTCATTAAAGCACATAGTAATTCAATTTTATGTAATATTACTAATGTTAGGTTATTTTTTGCCATAAATCGACGACATATTTGTTCTTACCCTACTTTATTTATTTCGATGTAATAGGTGGGGTTCATGAAAGTTTTGTTGAATGTTTTAGATCCCTGTCCCTAATCAACTACGTATGTAGCACACCCCCTCTCATCCCCATGGATAATGAATGATGATGTACCCGAGCACGAATATTTATATATTATTAGATTATAAATAAAAAATATATATGATAAATAGAAATATATTTGAATGGTCAAATAATAACAAAAATTCAAACCCCCAAGTACATCCAAGTTAAAAAATACAGCCCACGTTCATGAAATAGAAAATGTGATTATAATTATTTTTTACAATAATTTATTCAATTAAGTCTGTCCTTTAAACTATTGAGTTATGTCAGTCATTAGGATGTTGAAATAATGGCAAAGAGGAAGAAGAGACCTATTAAATTGTTTGGGCTTATTGGGCACAGCGTAGCCCAGATTCTCTCGTCTTATTGTTCATTTAATAAGCTGTTGAAGACAACTTTGTCAGAATTAATTAATGTTGCCTTTTGTCACCGTATTCTGGATCAGTAAGACTCATATGTAAGAAGTCTTTTTTTTTTTTTTAGTTTTTTTTTTTTGTTATAAAATAAAAGTATAAAATAAATAAGAAATTAAATTACAAAATAAAAGTTGTATTTTTTGACGAGTAAATAAAGAATATATTACAATAAAATTTATTTATTAATTACAAACTTTTTTTTTTAATTCAACTTTTAATTTTTTCTTATGAAACATATCATAGACAATAAATAATATTTTTTTATCTTGGAATATGATATTATATTATAATATTAACAATCAGCAGATGGTCTGATTAAAGTAAAGAAACTGACATGGGGAAGGATAGCACCCAGCCTTCCCTGGCTTGAATCAATTGCCACGGTTTGTCAAGGAAGAAGGTTTCTCAGCCTTTAATAAAATTTTATATCTTAAACATAATTAAAAAACTACTTAATTATACATTGGCATAACTACTTTAATCAAAGTTGTTAGAACCGTTTTCGAGAAATTGTGTAAATATTTAATAATGATGTACTACTAACCAGCTGATTTTGACGAAAAAGTTCTGTAACATATACCCAGGCATACATACCTTAAATACGCTATTTCAGTATCGCACAACTTTATTCTTATTGAGGTAGGTTTTTATCACTCATTCTCTCCTACAGGCCATTTCACGAAACTTGATTATTTATACTCAGGGGACCTCAAAACGTCTATTTCCTTTGAAATTTTTAACGACCAAAATATGTTTCTTTACCATACATTTCGTATTACGGTAAGTAAGGATGAGTGGTAAAAATTAAAGTTACACTTTAGTTTACAAAAAAAATCGCTATTAGTTAGGAGGAGCCAAATTGAGTGAACCACTGCGGTAAAAAACAAGTGAAGTACATTTTAACTACAATTTGAATGCAATATTATTAATTTTTAAATAAATTAATTTAGTTATTTTTATGTGTCTTCTGATGAAACCATGTTTCTACAGGTGTTTGCGTGTTTCCTCATGTTCATGACACTTACCCGACCATATCCAACAAAGTTAGTCTTGTCAGGAACTTCATGTTCTCAACACTGCCTGCGTGGTTCCTGTTAA